AAGTATCGATGTATTACTGTGGTTTTAGCCGTTTGGGTGTAATTCATGTTCAAAGTTTAAAAATACTCGAAAAAGTAGTGTTTTCACATTTCATTGATTTTCTCGAAAACTATAATAGATATGATGAGGCCAGTAGATGCATATGAAAGCTGAATGTTTGGGGAATATAGCAAGTATCGATATATTACTGTGGTTTTAGCCGTTTGGCTGTAATTCGTGAAGAGGCGACTTTCTTTGTTTCGGTTCTTTCGTATGCTTGGTCGCCTTCCACAGTGAATGTTCGTTACTTCCAGTAAGAGACAGTCTACCAAGATACTCGTGCAGCGCCTCGTTGCTCTAGCTCTCTAATAAGTTCCTGAGTTGTATTTGGCTCTATTCAGGCGAGTTTTATCATCCGGATGGTCGCTGATTTGGCAAATCTTCCAATTAATTAATTAATTAATGACAAAGTTTTATTATTATTATTAAATTCGTGTATTTTCTTATGACTAAAAACGTAATCATTTTTATGTTATATTCATTTTATTTGAAAAAGATTTAGTATTATACAGTTTAAACTAGTTTTTATTTCATATCTTTTGTTTTAGTGTTGTATGGAAATGGGAAAGCCATGAATATTCGATTGTAAAATCGAAATGAAATACTTAAGAGATAAAATGCAAAAGTTTTAATAGAATTGTCTTATTGGATTCTTCTGTTTGCATTTCAACTTTCAAATTTCTTTCGTTTCACATAACTATCAAAACTTTATAATCATTATTCCTCTGCAAAGAATAACTGCTTAATTTTAATGCTTGTTTACGTAAAATTATGTAATTGAATACTGAAGCTATTCAAATTAATCTTTATATTTCTTAATACCAGTTAAGACTTTAGTTTTATTGAATACTTTTTAGTACTATTTCGTTAATTATTTACTTAACTATTTACTTAATGTCTTAACTAACAATTTGAATTATTTAAATTTTTAAAATAGTTCAGATTTGTTTACATCTTTAGTTAGGGAAGGATTGTTGAAGATGTCGCTGAAGACGAGTCGAGTAGTTCCAAAAGTGTCCATTCTCACGTTGTCAGTGGAAAACCTTCAAATACAAAACATGTGTATAACATAACCTCTAATAGGAATACATTCAAAGCATAACAAATACTGCAATCATGGAAATCCCGGAGGTAAGTTTCTATATGTAACAGTTAAATTCTCTAAATAAAATTGATAAATTTTTGTAGCCCAAACCGAAAACCAAGAGGGAAATCCGCAAAGACAACAATGTTAAGATCAGACAGGTCAATGAAGTTCTCACATACAATGTGAATCAAAAGAAAGTGTTGAGTAGATATCACAAAAAGCAGTTGTTGAAGAAGACTAATGCCGCTAAGAGGGTAAAAAAAGGATCAAAGATTCCCGGCAGAGCTCCAGTCCCCAAAGGAGTTGTAAAGAAATATGATAAAGGTGATGGGGTTAGCACCAGAGGTATAACCGGAATATATCAGAAGGAGAAGTGGAAGAATAAGGAAAATCAGTTTAAGAAAGCCACAGAGCAATCGGCTAGGGTTGAAATATTGTTATCCGAGAAAGGAGGGTGAGTCATTATTTAATAATTTATGTTAAAACAACAATGTTTATTTTTTTATAATTTTATAGTGGAATTGAAGCCGATGAAGGTGAAAAGACTAAGGATATTAAGCAAATCGATATTGTCAAGAATGTTGATGTAGCCTCAGCTGCAAAATCATTCGAGTTACATTTGAATGAATTTGGGCCGTATCAAGTGAAATACACGCGCAATGGAAAGCACATGCTTTTGGCTGGAAAATTGGGACATATGGCCTCTTTCAATTGGTTCACGAAGAAGTTGGCTTGCGAAATTAATGTTATGGAATCGATACACGACATTTGCTACTTGCACGTCGACACGATGTTCGCTTGCGCGCAAAAGAAATATTTGCACATCTACGATAACACGGGCACGGAATTGCATTGCTTACGTAAGATTTCGAATATCAACAAGTTGGAGTTCTTGCCTTATCATTTCTTGTTGGCAGCTGGGGTAAATATGATGAAGATAGTTTAGTGAAAATGTATTAATAATATGTGTCTATTGTTTCAGTCTGATTTTGGTAAATTGCAATGGCTGGATGTGTCTGTTGGAGAAGTCGTCGGTTCCGTTCTGACTAAGCAGCATGGTTTGAGCACAATGGTCCAAAATCCGTACAACGCTGTTCTTTGCACGGGATCGACGAAAGGGGATGTAGCCATGTGGACTCCCAATTGTCAAGAACCGGTAGCTAAATTGTTCTGTCACAAATCTCCAGTCACGGCGATGGACATAGATCCTAGCGGTCTTTATATGGCAACAGCAGGAAGCGATTTCAAAGTGAAGATTTGGGACGCCAGGAATCTGGAGAAAACACTTCAAGTGTACAAGATTCCTTACGCCGCAAGCAACGTCAGCTTTTCGCAGACTGGTCTGATGGCGGTGAGCAACCGACAGAATTTAGATATCTACCGCGATTGTTGCGCGACTGCGACGAGAGATCAGTACTTGGTGCACAGGTTCAAACAGACCATAACGAACATGAAGTTCTGCCCGTTCGAAGACGTTTTAGGCGTTGGCACGCAAAAGGGATTCACCAGTCTCTTAATCCCTGGAGCCGGTGAAGCCAACTTCGACGCTTTAGAATTGAATCCTTATCAGTACACGTCGCAGAGGAAGGAAGGCGAAGTGAAAGCCTTGTTGGAGAAGGTTAACAATTTATTTACTCTAATCGATCTATATTTAAACTTCAAACGCTATTTTAGATTCCTTACGAAATGATATCTCTGAACCCGTCAGTGATCACCGAAGTCGACGTTCCTACGATGAAGGAACAGATCGAGATGAAACAGAAATTACACGTAAATACCATCAATTTTCTTTTTTGTATAGATCTCGTTATTAATTTGATCGATTTCAGTTTATCAAACCTCCGCAAATCGATTACAAACCGAGGAACAAGGCTAAAGGAAAGGGCGGTTCCGTCAACAACGCGAGGAACAAGAAGATTGCGCAGGAGAAGGTCAAGAAAGATTTCTATCAGAAACTTTCGGAACTCGAGGAAGGAGAGAAAAGTAACGAGGAGACGAAGAAAAGTAACGTTAAGGCTAACAATCCAATTTTACAACGGTTTTTATAGTTTAAAATAATTAAAATCTTTGTATAATTAGCGTTATTTTTCACCTTTTCTTCTTCATCGATTTCATTTTTCACATCACCCCCTCCAGGCTTCGTGTACGTTCTGTAGATGGTCGTAAGCCCTGTACGTTATGTTCAGAGCTGGCATCACCTCATTGCACTTGTGCGTCTTGAGCAGACTCAACCCGGATAGAGCCAAGTAAGTGTGCATTGGATCGGCGTCGCTTGACGAGTTTTTGCCGAATCCTCCGCTTCTGTAACATTGCGTGGAAAGCACGAAATTCTCAAGTCGTTCTTGGTCTATGTACTCGTAAGCGTCGAGCATCTTCAACGTGGCTCCCAACCAGAAGGTGTAGCAGGAATCCCACATTTTGTTGGGTCTCCCTTGGAAACCTTCCAGCTGTCTATTGACTACCCATCTGATCAAGTTATCCCTTTGTTTGCTCGACAGCCTATCTAAATTCTTAGTTAGAAATAAGGTGGCTACAGCGCAATACGTTGATCCTCCATGGGATTCCAATTCGGGACCTTGTGCTATAGCCCCATCGTACGACTAAAAACAACAAATACAAAAATATAATTGATTACAACCCCCAACCAAAATACTCACTATGCTCTTTAAAATGTAATCAACAGCCTTCTCAACGTCCATCCCAGACCAATCATTCAATATGTAGCAAATACAGGCAGCGCAATAAACGAACCTCATATCATTCTCAGTTCCTTTCTTGCTCCCAATAAAACTACCATCATCCAACTGCAATTGTCTTAAACCTAAAATAATCAACAAGTTAAAAACCAATCACTATAACTGTAACCATACACACTCTTAATTATTGATACCCTGTCGACTCTCTTAAAATCGTCTCCTAAAATTAATAAATTATTTAAAGCTGAATACGTTCCAGCTATGTGAGCGCACTTGGCGATATCATTCTCAAAACATTGATCATTCTTGAAACCGCCCACTAAAAAAACAAAAGCTATAACAAAATTCACACGACAATAGTAAAAACTGCACCATTCTCATCTTCGATCTGAAACCTGTATATCCAATTGATGTAATGCTCTTTCTTCTCCTCGATGGAATCCATCATGTCGAGTACATCCAAGGAAGACAGGGTGAAGAACGCTATTGTGCATCTGCGAATTTCCAAACAATTCGATTATTGATTTGAAAGGGAACACCCACTTGATCAGGTCAAATGAATTTTTGAAGTTAACTTGCTTGATGGGATCCACGGATTGGGGAAGGCTGTGTGTCAGCACGAACATGTTGTACTTCACATGTTCCTTAACGTTAAATAAAATCATCTTTTGCAAATTAAAACTCAGGTACTGTAAATATTACGATTCGACTAAATGGAAACGGTATCATTTCTTGGGTAGGTGAGTGAGCTAATGATCCATCAAAAACTAACATGAAGTTGATGCTGTCATCATTCAATATTGAAAATAAACTTTACAATCATCTCAAATTTAAACTATTTATACACGATATAAGCTAATTAAAGTAATCATTAAATACAAATGTTATTATTTAGTAATTTACGTAATTTATGTTATTAATAAACGATCTCAATAGATGTCGCTTTATTTTATTTAAACTATAAACTTTACTAATCCTAATAAATTGTAATTAACTTTTTATCATTTTGTATAATTGATAAGAAATATATCAGCTTTATTTCTTTAAATAGTTCTACAATTCTTCAATATTGTTAAATAATATTACATAACTATACAATTTTCATTTATATACGAGTTTAATCTGTTCCAAAATTTCCGGATTGTTACTCGTATACTGAAACATATTCAAAAATACAAATAATATGTGTACACAAATGATGTAGAAGGCGCGCAATCTTACAATTGATTTTGCTCGTTATGTGAGGTTCCACTGTATAAATGTAAAAATAAATATCGAAATGCATTGCGTTAAATCAGCAAAGCAATTGTTATCTTATTTTGATAAGATTAATTAAGATTTTTGGGGGAATTGATTGAAATCATAATGATAATTAAATGTTCTTAAAATAAA